AATGATTAACTGTTATAATTATTTTCGAAATCACTAACCTCAGCATTGAGCATCTGCCCTCCAATCCCTGATCTACTCAACATGTTCCTACAGTTCAGCTCGGTGGATGGGGGGGTGGGGGTTAGGAAAACTATATTGACTATAAAGTTGCTTTCGTGATTTGAGTCATGGGAATGCTAACTCATATAAGGAGTGTAGATAGTTTATAGCATACTTGTCTCAGAAAGTCATGGGTTCAAGTCTTACACTGGGATTTTGAGATCACTGTTTAGGCTGACACTACAGTGCAGTATTGAGGGAAATGCTGAGCTGTTGGAAATCCCGTGTTTCAACTGAATTGTTAACTGATATTCTGTTCAGGTGGACACAAAATGTCTGCCGTGTTAGCCTACAAATACACTTGACAGTAATTACCAGCAAAACATTTTAAGGCATTTTTAATGGTATGTATGCTTATATGAAACTCAAGGATTATTATTTTTCATTACTCAGGTTACTGAAGAAATAGCAGCACCAATTATTGGAGACACAAATTCATCTACAAAATCACTACACTTCACAGTAAATCCTGTGAAGGCTTTGAGATGTCCTCCTGAAGTGAAAGGCGCTATGTCAACTGCAAGAATAATAATTACAAATTGGGGGACATTCCTTTACATGTTCCTTAACTTAATTATTAAAAGGAATGTGTTGAGGAAAAAACAAATATTTTATTCTTATTTTAGAAAGTCGTTCAAATTTTCTGTCTTTTCCAACAGATTTGTTTGAGGCAACACAAGCATTCTGTCAGAGATATTTATTCATTGCATGCCAATGTTACACAGAAGAAAGTTAGAAAGAAAAAGTGTTCTGGAGATTTAACCATGAGATCCTTCTATTAAAATAAATGGGAGTTCAAAGAAGATGACAGTTATAGTATCATTGCCGTTATCATATGACTTCTACTGGAACACACATGCATATAAATTTAAAATGGATGCAAAAACAAAGCAGACTTTCTAGGAATGGATAAACAGGCAAAACTAGGAATTGTACCATTGTCATCTGCCATGCACAATGTGTAATGTAATCATCATTTTGCCATTAACCAACTTACACTCTTGTAAGTTGTCCATCTGTACAAATATTTAGCTTCAAACACAGAGCTAAAAAAATTCAACTGGCTATCTGTTTAACGGCAAGCATGCTACAATTGCTACAAAGCCATAAGGATTTGCAAATGTAATGATAGAGCCAGGGAAGATAATCTACTAAACAGTGAACACACTGATTGTAATACTTGAATGTTTAGTCCGTCTGATGGACTGGGCAGATGGTAGAGCTTATTGAGGAAAAAGAGAGACTGACACACCACAGATTAATAAGCCACACTTGACTGGTCAAGAATTTCAGCATCTCCATGCTTTAGACAACAACATCTGCAAGGAACTCCAAAGCAGTGAAACTGATCGAGTCAAACGTGCCTGCAGTTATTTTATTTAATTCTGTCAGTATACAAAGCATGCAAGTCAGAAGAGACGTTTATAAATACAGTACATTTTGGAACATTATCACTTTGTTTACCACTTTTTATTTGTATTGAACTTCATTTGCCAGTGATCAACCCAAGAACACACGCTGTCAGACCCTTTTTGTAAGATGTTGGTTGCCTCCTCTGATTCCTCAGTCTCCCCTATTTCAATATCATCTGTAAATGAAATTATCTTCCACTAAAACTGCAAACCCGAATAATTTATGTAAAGGTTCAAGAGAAGCCCCACCTGAGCTGCTCCTTACTCAACACCAACCTCATTTCAACCCAGATCTCTCATTGCTAAACTTTGCTTCTTTCTCTTTATAGTGTTAAGGATGAGACGTTAAACTGAGATCCCATCTGCCTGATCAAGCGGATGTTAAAGATCCCACGGAACTAGGGATTTTCACAAGGGAGTTTCTCTCTCTTGGTGTCCTGGCAAACAATCTCCCAAATAAAATTGGTCACTCACTCGATGGCGGCTTGTGGGATTTTGTTATGGGCAACTGACTGCCGTATTTTGGCCACAAAAATGACATAATCAATCCACTTTACAGTATATCCTTTGAAATGCTTTGAGATATCTCAATGACGAGTAAAACTGATTGCATGCAATCATTGCTTAAACAACTGCAAACCCAAAGTCAGAACTAAGAGAAGTAAAGCAGAGACAGGTGAACTACGAGCTAACTACAGGCATTGCAAAACAATCTCAATGCTCCTTACCATGATCAATGATTGTGCTGTTAATGTGTACCACACGTTTACTTGAGACACTGCAGGTGACGATAAAGAATGCAGAAAGTTATACACAAGTTTGAGCCAAGGAAGAATGCTTGTTCAACTGAAGAAATGAGAATGATTGATCACTCTGGTACTGTGTTGAAGAATCTTGCAGGCACTTGTGACTTTGGTGACCTGAAGGAGTCGCTGAGTTGTGGTAAGACTTGTGTTTAGAGTCAAGAACAGCCATGCGAGACTACAAAGAGAACAAGACCTCGACCTTAAGAAAGCTGAAGATATGTTAACAGCATCTGAAGTTACACAATCTCAAGTGAAGCAGCTCAGTAACCCTGACATTGTTTATAAAAATACACCAAGAATAAACTAACTGCTAGGAATCCTAGCAAACAAAATCCCAAGCTGATGAGAGGTGAACAGGAGCACCTAAAGGGTAAGATTCAATGCTCAGCATTGAAAGCACTGTCTGGCAAGCTTTCTTGCTGCTTGTATAGCTTAGATACAAAACTCTGGAACACTCTCCCTCAGTCCTTCCACCTTGCCTTTCTCTCCCCCTTTTCAAGTCCCGCCTGAAAACCTTCCTTTTCGACCGTGCTCGGAGTCAGGCTCCGCTCCTGTTAAGTGCTCTGAGACGCTACCCTTGCTGTACAAGTGCAAGTTGTTGTTGTTATAGCAAGGTAGTTTATTACTGATAATAAACTTTGACTTTGATATAATGATAAAATAATAATCCTTCCATTTGATACAGCACCTTATCACATCAGTGAGATGTCTCAAAGCGCTTCACAGAATATATTGTAAAGTGGATTGACTGTGTAGTCTGTGGGCGAAACGTGGCAGCCAATTGCACACAGCAGTGTCCCACAGACAGTCGGCAATTGAGTAATTCTTTTTCCCCGGAGGGATTATTACCCCCGGAAAGCAACCCACCAATTGACTAACAAACAAATTCCTACTTACTGCTAGGCAAACAGAGGCATATGGAGTAAGGAAACTTGCCTAAAGTTTCACCCTGCCTGGGAATCAAACCCAGGCCCTTCGCTTGCAAGGCTGGCGCACTAACTACTGCGCTATAGGACTCCAGCAAAAAATATATATTATATATAGCTCTTTATCCATTCACCGAAACATCTCAAAGTGCTTCACAGGAATTACTGTAAAGTATAGTTACTGTATATATGTAGGCACACGCAACAATTTGCACACAGAAATGTCACACAAATAGCCATGATATGAATAACTAATTGTGTCTGGCAGATTATTGCACAGGACACTAGGAGAAACTCTCATAAGTTTAAGTACAAGTATTGCACTGAGTAGTTTGCAGAGAGTAAATATTGAAGTCGTGAAACAGAATACCTAATCTACCATATAAAACAACTGCGTATGTTGTGAATAGGCAGGAATTAATACATACTTTCCAAAACTGATACTAACTACACAATCACTCCTGTAAATAGAAAGATATTCTGTCAATTTTGATGAAATACTGCAATCTGAAATGAAAGTACTTTTAATGTTGGTGAATGGAGTCCAATGTGCAATATCGTAAACTGGATTTGTTGCGTTAATTGTGAATTTCAGTTTGCAAATATTGGATTCTGAATTTCACGACCAAGGAATCTCAAATCTCAAAGCCACAAAGTCTGAAAAAGACCAGTGAGCACAACGCAGGAGTTCAATAGAGGATGGGTGTTGTGGAAACTAAAGCTATCTCAATGGTGCAATAAACATGATGGTCCAAAATTGAGGTTAAGACTCATTGTTGAAGCCACGTAGTGGGAACTTACTATTGCATGTAGCCTTTCTATATCAGATATGTGAGAGGTTGATCCAAGAACTGGCACAAAAGATGTTTCATTTCTCTAACTTTGATGAACACAAAACAATTTATACTCCTGCTTTCTGACAATTGCCCGCCAAAATCATTGCCTGCTTGAACAACACAATTCGCTTCATAATTACCACACCACAAACTGTACTTTTACTGTGGTTTTAACATCAGTTTGGGATTAACCTCATGTTGAATCAGTACTTACTGAAGATTTGAAAGCTGACCCCATTCACTTATGTTGCATTTACACTGCATGTTTGGATACTGTTCCACTCTGCTGCAGGAACGTATTACCCTTCAGTTGTCATCCCCAGAACAATTCCATACACCTCCTAGGCGCTCTGAGACACCATCTGGCGTGGAGGGTGCTATATAAATCCAAGTTGTTGTTGTTGTTGTTGGGAGTTTAAAATAGAATGGCCACAACTTATATGTCCGCCACAGAAACCAGGAAAGATTTAGAAAAGTGGAGGTAAATGCACTGTGCAGTGGGATCTGGATCAGCAAAGTCCCAAGTTTCTTTCCAGCACTGCATTCAATTATCCTGGCTGAATGATATCCAATGACATTCTATCTACATATGCACGGAAATCAGGTGAAGTCAGTATTCAACTACCATGTGATTTCCACCACAGCTGAAAAGCTTGCCAATTATATAGATTCACAAGTCACTTGTGTGAGGTACTGAAGTTAGGGGATGATTGGTATCTTTCCTAGGCAAGAGAGGAAGGGAAACAGATTTTGAAAGTCATAAATGCAGAGACTTTAGACTAGTTTGTATCTCAGAGATGGAATAACTTGGGAAGACCTAAAGAGATTTTCTGAAATTTCATTCAAAAATATTAGTAACATGACTAGAACAGTATTCATGGTCCAAATGCCAAATCCACTAATAACATTGCAATCTCTTACCTGAAGGGGCTCTTGTGTCAGTCTCATGGGTCCAAATCGTACTTCTGTTGATGCGACCTACAGGAGAAAGTAACACTTTCACCAGTCTGTTCAGTATATCATCTTCAGAAAGGCTTTGGTTCAGTGTTAGGGTATACTCTATGGCAGAAAATAAATGCAAGTGACAGAGAAGTGTAACTCGTAATGTGTTAGTTATCACTGGTGTTCAGTTAATTTGTTGACTGGGCTGTAGGTGTAACCTATCGCAATGATTGGGTCTATGAAAGCCATTGGATTTCCTTCCTATCACAAAATATATAGTCAATTCACTTTACAGTATACTCTGTGAAGTTCTTTGAGACATCTCAAAGTCATGATAAGGTGCTTTATCAAATAGAAGGATTATTATTGTTATTATTATTATTATCCTAGTCCTCAAGATTGTGACCTTATGGGCTGCTTAGAGGGATACTGGCTGAACTCTGACTTTTTGCTCGGTTAAGCTGATATCCCACTAACTGCTTTCCAATACCAGAATCCGCAATCAGCAATTCCAATGGGTGCCATTGCTGGGTAGCTGAAATAATACAATTGCTGAGGGGGGGGGGGGGGGGGGGTAGGGCATATTTATTGATAACATAATTATCACAAGCGTCAATACACAACAGATTGCAAAGGTCACCCTATATACTGTACGAGGCTTTAGCCCACAATCAAGCAGATCAGTGTAAATCAGTGCTGCGAGTATGAGAGCAGTTATATAACTTGAACACAGTCAGATGGTACCTACAAGCAAATAAACACTTATTGATATGGACCATTAAAGACCACAACATGTGCCATAACTGAATCTTTCTAAGTTATGGGCCAGATCTCAGAAACAAAGAAGCCTTTTATGAAAGACATTCAACATACTGCAACTGAGGTCAATTTCAAGAATATGTGGATTGTGTACTTGGGTCACTGACCTCTGCTTTGGTCTGTCCTGAGCTCCTTAGCTTTTCACAAATCAAAGTGCCTTTCCACTTAACTTCAGTTAGATTCTATTTCTGCTGTGTGAGATCACGATCGAGGTTTTGGATGAAGAAAGCCATTCAGTCCATTTGACTTCATCCTTGCAGAATGAATACCCACCCTACTGTTTTTCCACTTCAAATTTTGAAGGTTACGGCTCAGAGGCCTTTGAAGCCTAACATAAAATGTATCATCTGCTTTTTCTATCTTCCTCTTTGTCTTTCACATTCAACTGCTGTGTAACTGGTATATTCCAAGGTTCATTTTATTTTGTTACTTACTTGCTCAGAAGTTTTTATGCAAAATTAAATGACCTGCAAAAAATAGATAAGTTGACTCTATTATAATCACCTTTATTTTAGTGGCGTGCTAAAACAAAACGGAAAAAAAACATTCTACAGTTTAATAGTTTCTAGATTTGTAAGCAAATAAACTATTTGACAGCAGTGAGCAGCTTGTCCTCATGTCTCTAACATATAATACCACAGTTTTATGTCAAGTTAGAGATTGCTGAAACTTTCAGTTCATTTATTTTCTTTTTATATCACAAAGCGAGTTTGTAAAGTACCTGACATCTTTCAACCCATTGATCTCTGGACTATTTCTTCAGCCACATTACTCATTACAGCAAGCAAAGGTTTCTGATACATTTACATGGCATATTGGTTGCTAAGGGTATCAAGTGAGACTAATGAGCTCTCAAAACATCAGCTTAAAACATCAGCTCAAAACATCAGCTCAAACATCAAAGTCAATGCAATGAGGCTCATGCAACCAACATCGTGATCTGTTCCACTTCCATCGAGCACCTTCGACTTAAATGGCACCAAATTCCTCATACACAGATGTTTGTTTCAAAAACATGGCTTTCACGTAGGATAGACATCTTGAAGCACTTCACAGAGATGAGAGGGAGCACTGAGCAACAGAAGAGGAAGGAGAATTTAAGGGTATCGACCAAAGGCATGGTCAGAGAGATACATTTTTAAGAAAATTCTGAAGGTGGTGAGACAGAGCAAGACAAAGAGATTTTGGAAGAGATACAGAATAAGACTAGACAGAAGAAAAGGAAGAAGGTGACACAGACCTGCAGTTCAGGTCTGAACAAAATACTGTAGAGTTACAGGTCTTATCTTAGCAAGCCAAATTATCAACAGAACGCAATCATGGAAATATTCTGTGTCCACTGATCCCTGAAATTAAGTCTTAAGCCATTTGTGTCACAACAGCATCACATGTAAGCAACACATTGATGTTCTTGCAGCAATGGCACATCTTGAGGATGATAATAATAATAATAATAATAATCCTTCCATTTGATATGCAATTAAATAAAAGTTTTTTTTAGTGCACTTTTAATGGTATAGGTCAGAAACACAAACATTTGAGATTCTGCTTTTAGAACATTACAATTAAAACAACAACAATAACGACCACTTGCATTTATATAGTGCCCTTCACACTGGGCAGCGTTTCAGAGCGCTTGAATTATACAGAATTATACAGAACAGCGTAGGCCTGTAGGAACACATAAGAGGTTATTATGCTTTTCTACTTCATTGTTAAGTGAGAATTCATTAGAAGCACTTGGCTAAAATAAATCCAAAATAAATCCATAGTAGTGCGCTTTAATGCTTTGACTAAGAATACTCAACTAATTGAAGGAAATTTAATTCTAACTATTATAATTGTGAAATAGTTACTCTGGTTCGCAGAAATGCCAGCCTTTGTTTATCTTATTGTAAACTGAATTGGAAATTGAAGGTTAGCTTTCACTGAGGTTTGTATGTCATTTGAAACATTGTGTTGTGAATGTGTGATTTGACAGATGGCAAATGAATTTCAGTGAAAAAATGATCAACCCTGAAAGTTCCAGGCGTGACCTGACTGGAGAGCCAAGGTCACCTGTGATCTCATAGGTAAAAAAGCTGCATTTTAAAGTATGTCAGGACTCATAAAGGATGCAAGGAATGTCACTACAGTATGTTAAAATTCCACTAGAGCAGACCGCAATCTAGATTCTATCCACATTATTAAGTAATAATAGTAAAAAAGTAGAAAGATCAAATTCAAAAAAAGGGGGACATTAAATGAATGCTGGTAATGAATTGGTGTAATAGTGAGTCTAAAGCACTCAGTAGCAGGAGGTTTTTTTTGCAAAAGACTACTATTCGATACTGGGGAGGAAGACAGTTCAGCCATTGTACTATAGTGAGGCAACCTGCTCTGAAAACTCCCTTTAACCTGTACCATGTTCACCAGGAGAGTGAACATCAGTGTTGTGCTGCAGTTCAGATCTTTACAATGAGAGGTTAAGGATTCAACACGCCTCATTTTCTTTCCACTGTTCCCTCCTCTCCTGACTTGTGGCATTTCAATGTTGAATAGATGTTAGCAGCCCTTTCGCAGCTCTCTTGACTGGCCATTCTTCATATGAGAATGAAGAGACGTAGTGATTGACAGACTATTAAATTGTGAGGAGGCAACAACAACAACTTAGATTTATATAGCGTCCTCCATGCTGGATGGCGTCTCAGAGTGCTTCACAGTAACGGATTCCGGGCCCGAGCCAGGGGGAGGGGGAGGATGGTGACCAAAGGCGTGGTCGAAAAGAAGAGGCAAGGTATCAAAGCCAAGCCCAATCCTGTTGTGACATCATCTGCAGACATGGGCTCAACTTCCACATGTACGCGGATGACACCTAACTCGATCTTTCTGCCTCCACCCTCAACTCCAGGACCACTGCTGTCCTGACAGACTGCCTGTCGGACATCAAGTCCTGAGGGCAAATTTTCTACAGTTGAATGTGAACAAGACTGAGGCCCTACCGATTGGCTCGCGCCAGCGCCTCTGCACCTCAGGCTCTGGCAACATCAACCTCCATGGTTGCACACTCCAACTCACCAGCCAGTCAGGAACCTATGTGTCTTGCCTGTCCCTCAACTGTGTTTTCTCCCCCACATTCAAGCCATGACCTGCTCTGCCTTCCCTCACCTCCGTAACATCGCCCAACTCCGCCACTACCTCACCCCTCAGGCCCCTGAAACTCTTGTTCATGCCTTCATCACCTCCAGGCTTAACTATGCAAATGCCCTGCTTGTCGGCATTCCCAACTCCTCCCTCCATAGGCTGCAGATAATCCAGAACTCTGCAGCCCGTATCCTCTCCCGCACCAAACTCCACTGATGTGTAAAGGAGTGTGCTTTTTCTACCTGTTTAAAAAAAGGAGCCTCAATCAAGGTAGTTAACAAGGACTGGACTCCGATTAGGGTTGTTTGAATTTCTAGCCCTCAGTGCTAATTGGGCACCGGCATCAATATATAACAACAACAACAACAACAACAAGATTCCATTTATAAAGCGCCTTTCACGTCAGGAGGACGTCCCAAGGCGCTGCACAGTTGGGTCATGACCTGAGCAGGGGGGAAATGGTCAGGGGAGGGGAGGGAGCGAGGAGGGGGGAAATGGTCAGGGTGAGGGGAGGGAAGGGAGGGAGCGAGGAGGGGGAAGAGAGTCGAGAGGGGAGCCATAACTGGGTGCCAGAGAGGTGGAGGAGTCTGGAGAAGATGGCTGTAAAAAGCAATTGTTCCCTTATAAAAATAATTAAATTTACAATATATTCTGTGAAGTGCTTTGAGATGTCTTGATGATGTGATAAAGTGCTATATCAAATGCAAGGATTATTATTATTATTATAAACCTTTCTTTTGTTGTTAAAACCCTTGGTGCAAGTTTGTTTTCCTGGTGCAGCCCATTCCCTCTTACACCTGGCCATATATGCATGCTTTCCAATGGGAACCCAGTTGATTTGGCCGCTCACTAGACCAGAAGAATTTAGGCTACTGTAATGCTCTTATACCGCTTCACTCTGAGATTACCTTGCTCAGAACAGATCAGCAGCAACAACTTGCATTTATATAGCACCCTTCATGTGGGGTAGTGTCCAGGGGGTCAGGGATTAAACCTTCCTGGAGCCAGAAATCCCACTTGGTTTTAGACTTACACAGCTTTCTTAACATTTCAGAGTACTCAGAATTATGGCAAATTTGAAATTTACAGTTAAT